TCATCATATCATTTAGATCCACTCCCCCCATATACTTATCATAAATATTTTTCACCTGGGGATACTCAGAGTTTGGTCTTCTTGGCTTGGCTTCAGAGATTGCATCACAGTAGGTGGACAAGAATCTTACAGGTGGTTTAGAAGGTTTTTCCTTGTAGCCAATTGCCAAAATTTCTTGATTTCTTAAATAAATTATATTATTTGAAGAATAATTGGCAGTTTTTATGGCAGCTGGAAATCCTTTTCTATTGGCTCTCACAGTTCCAGTCAGGTAAGTGCCATTCTTGGCCAGATCCCGAGCGAGATCAATGCTCGTGAAGAAATTGTCTACCACAATATGATGCCCCTTGTTCAACAAATTAGAATTGGTTAAAAGCTTCATTGGAACATCATATGAGAGACTTTTGTGGATCTGGCCAAGTTTGCCTTTATATGGCTCGAACTGGAGGCAGTAACCTGTCTCGGATTCACATACCATCCAGAGCTTGATCCCAAAGCGACCATGATGCTTTCCCGGCATATATTGTCTGATTCTTGTTTTATTTTTTAGGCAAACTAAACTCTCATCAATGCTTATATATTGTTTTGGTTTATAATGAAACAAAAATTTGAAGTTCATATATTTGATGAGATCATTGAACTTCATGGTGGGGTCGTAGTTGGGATCAGTGTACTTTGGCATGTGATAGGAGTCACAGGTTGTAAAAAAGCGGTACAGCAGTTCAAAACGGTTCCTCGTCATTATTTCACCAAACCACGAAGTTCGCAAACATCTTTCCTTTGTCCAGAAGTCTTTTATCCTATTTTTTTTATGGTTGCCCATGTTAAATATGATGCCAATGAATGCAAGCATCTCATTTAGAGAGGTATCGCTCCATTTTCTAGCCCTAGAAGAAGGATTCTTCCAGATAATGTTTGGCATATTTATTCGTAAATTTGACCAAATCTTTTAACAAACTTGTAGTAAAAAAGAGGAAGAAATAGTCAATAGGACGGGTAAGGGAGCTAGGGAGGTGCTGAGGACCAGAGCTCTCTTCAAATAAAAATGGTTTTGGCGTCGTGGAAGGTGGAGAAACACTCACCCAAGGAAGGTTAGCAACATCCACTTCATCTTCTTGAAAATAATTAATTTCGGTGTCCGAAGAACTGCTTGATTCTAAATCTGAATCCAGATCATAAACCTCAGTACAGGAGTCACTTTCTGAGGACATTTTACTAAAAAAATATTGGTTACAAAAAGAACCAGAAAAATCTAGCAATCGACTGGAAAGGAAGGAGAAATGTTTAGCTGTAATATGACTCAATGTGAGGCCCGATATGGGGAGCGGAAGTGGAGGGGGGAGATCATGTGACGTCGGCCGGTGTATCGGCGGCCGACTGGAGCTAGCTGACTCAAGGTCATTGACGACCGATCGGCCGGCTGGCGCCTAAAGGGTTAAAGAGCTGGGCGGACAATTGACCCAATGTTACAAGGGCTACATCATCCATAGTTAGGGCATGATCCATAGCTGCCCGACCAAATTGGTCAGTCAGACGTTGCCACAGACAGATGGACAAGAATTTTATACCCCTGGTAGTGATTGCGACTCTTAATAGCCATATCACTTTTACTTAAATTCATACCCTTCAAACCATCCTCAAACATTCCTTCACCGTCAAACAATCGGCGTACATGGGCCGCATCAGCGCTCTTCATCTGTTGGTCACCCTTCCTCTCTCTAAAAACCTTCACTTCTCTTAAAATTTCTATCTCTCCTAGACTTTGGTTGTTTCTTGGTAGTTGATGGTGCTTCCATTGATTCAACAGCGGTAGGTGCAGACGATGCCATGTTTCGGAAAACAAGTCAAAGCGGAAATGCCAGCTTTAAAATCGAACTGAGGAGGGGGAGTAGGGCAGGAAACATAATGATCTATAGATTATAGGTAGATTGGAGGGACCAGGTGTATATGAATATCTGCTGATAAATTCAAGTGGAAATGATGCTTTAGTGAGGGTTCTTATTATGTTAATTTTGTGGGAAATAGGACAGTGTGAATTGAAATGGGTATAACTGGGGGGACATTGTTTTTTTATAATAAACTGTGGTGTGGAATGTGGATGTGGTACGTATTATTAGTATGTCAAGGAATGGGATGACCTGGTTTGACTCTATTTCCATAGTGAAGGAGATGTTGGGGTTATAACTATTGAGGGCTACAAGTTGTTGATGATTAACTTTAAGTTTCAAATTTGGATTGACTTCATTTGCTTTTTTACAATTAACACTTTGAGGAACATTGGTTTCACAACCCAAATAGCCCTGTGAACCAGGATAAAAATTGATTTTAAAAAAAAAAATCATATTTATAAAAATATATTACCTTGAACAGTGAAATTTGATGCTTGTATCAAAATATGTCTATAAAACACAAAAATGTAATAAAAAAAAATATGTTTATTGGCACTTTTTCAAAATAAAAAAATAAAAAAAGAACTATAAAAATGCAAACTGCCAAAAAAAAACGCCACTGTTTGTAAAAAAAATAATCAGAGGAAATTATTAAAATTTTTACATTTATATACATTGTTATTCCCAGTACTTCATTTCTGTATGGTACTTTTCGAAGCACTCTCCAACGCAAAGTGGAATCTTGCATTGTTTGCACTCAAATCTGGTGTCCTTCCGGGCTACCTTCCCAGTCTTGTGCTTTGCACTATCTGCACAAACTTTGCACCTTCTTTGCGCTGCTTTTCCACTTTCTGGGGCTATTTTATAGCAGTAGTGCTTCCCAAGTAGCCTGGCAACATCAGTTTTCGAAGTTGTTTCTTTTTCAGAGTGTTCAATGCTTGCCTGATTGAGCAACTCCCCACCGACAGCCAGATAGAAGTCCTTCAGACTTATTTTTTTTATCAGGATTTGCTTTATTGTAAATGATGTTGCCATTTACAAAACAAAGTGAAAAAAGATGGAAGAATATTTTTTTCCACCATTTCAATGTTTTCCTGCTAAAAGAATAATATGCCATCATCTGATCGCTCCGGTCCACTCCTACCTTCCCCTTGTTGTAATCGATGACAGCATCAGGCTTGAACAACTCTTCTCTGGTTGGGGTTTTGGGCTTGACTGGCATCATTTTACCTTCATGGACAGTGGAGAGCATGAAAACATCTCTAACATCTTTCCATTTGATGGCTAAAAGATGCTTTCTTCTCATCTTTATAATCTCTCCTCTCTTTAGTTTTTGGGAAAATTCGGTTTTTGGCATCGTTTTCCTGGAAGGCATAACTGTGCCAACAGCTAGGGTCTTTTTTCCCCAAGTTTATCAAATAACTCAGGAGAGGAAAACCACCTATCAAAATAGATATGATAGCCTTGTCCATAAAACCTCTTTGCCAGCCTGTCCACGAGGTTCGGAATGGAGTTGTGCTCTGGCTGCTCAGGATCCTTGCCAGTGTAGATATCAAGATTGTAAGCGTATCCAGATACAGCTTCACAAATCTGGAATATCTTGATGCCATATTTATGAGGTTTTCCTTTTATATACACTCGAAAACCCACACGTCCTCTGAATGGACACATCGCCTCATCAATAGTGAGATTTTGCTGAGGAGTGTAGGCATTCCCAAAAGAATATATGAGGGATTCCAAAACTGGTCTTATTTTGAAGAGTCTGTCATGCCCTGGTTTTCCATATTCAATGTATTTTGAATTGTCATTCAAATGTAGCATTGACAAAATTCTCATAAATAGTGTCCTTGGCATATTTATGGACTGGCAAAAGGCATTCTTCAGGAATCCGTGAGTAGACCAGTAGTCTTTCATCCCAGGCTTCTTCACCAAAGACATGTCTATGATGACACAGAAAAAGAGCTTTATCTGTGCCACTGACACAGCCTTCCACTTAGCCAGCATGCCATGAGGCTTGAGAGGACCCTTCTTGGACTCCCGATCAATAATACTCCTGGCATATCGGTTTGTTTCCTCTTTGATGCTTTTGAAAATATTCTCTGTAAAGAAGAGACTGAACGCATCAAATGGTGAGGAAACATCCCCCACTAAATTTAGTCCAGGGCGGGCGGTGAAAGGGGGAGGAGTTGGGGGCGAGGGATCATCTTTCCTCCAGGTGCCGGCGGCAACATTGGAGCCAGCGGCGGCAGTGGACGTCTCCCGACATGTCGTCAGCATGCAAACTGGAGCTACTTCTAATCGCAGCCGTTTAGCAGGAATTTCTTCCCTTTCTTCCTCCTCAAATTCTAATTCATCGGAGGCTGAATTTTCGTAATCAGGATCCTTCACTTCATCATCAATTTCTGAGCCAGAATCGTAAAGATATTCAAGAATATCTTGAATGTCTTCATCTAAATGAACTTCTGATCCCAAACCTTTTGAAGTGCTAGGTTGATACAAAGGATTCATTTCAATAACGTTATGAAATTAGAGGCAAAATAACTTTGAAAAAAACGAGCGAAAAGAGATTAGAGATAACAAAAACAAACTTGCCTGTTATCAGTTTGTCAGCAAGCTAGCCAATGAGATTGAGCGACAGATGACTAATTTTTTTGCCTGCCAACAGTATCGTCCTGACATCTAGTGATCATTTTTCTATTGATTTTTAAAGTGCCGCGACGTATAAAAACGGGGTTGGTCCTCTAGGCTTAATAGCTTATGACGTATAAAAACGGGGTTGGTCTTCAAAGTGTTAAGGCAATTCGCTGCCCTCTGGCAGTCCTTTGATAGGTGTCCATGAGCACCACATCTAGCGCAATTATGGCCTTCAGCAGTACAAGTCTTTGTCTTGTGAAATCCAAGGCATTTTGCACATCGATTTACCAAAAAAATTTCAAACCACTTCAAAACCCTCCACCCAAATTTGAGGCAAAAAATGCCATTTTCAAGAGTAGATTGAATTTTTAATTTTTTAAATGATAAAGAATCAATTGATGCCAAAATAGATAACTACAAATTAAGTTTAATTAATGAAACTAATATTTGTTTAGTTTACACAATGATATTATTCAATTATAAGCTGAGTTATTATTTATAATATATGAAAATATAAAGAGACTCAGTAAACAAAACTCATTGTTTATTTATTTTAAAAAAATATATGTTAAATAGAATGGCTGCCAGATGATGATAAATTAATTGGCGTTGCCAAACTAAAGATTAATATATATAACACACATGTCCCTTTAACAATCAAAGATTCAATCTGAGTGGAGGTCGAACTACCCTACCAGATCTAGTGGTGATCAGGTTCTTTGAGGATCCGGTGGTCAAGTTCTTTGAGGATCCGGTGGTCCAGTTCTTTGGGGATCTGGTGATCAAGTTCTTTGGGGATCCGGTCGTCAAGTTCTTGGGGATCTGGTGGTCAAGTTCTTTGGGGATCCGGTGGTCAAGTTCTTTGGGATCCAGTGGGCCAGTTCCTTGGGGATCCAGTGGTCCAGTTCTTTGGGGATCCGGTGGTCAAGTTCTTTGAGGATCCGGTGGTCAAGTTCTTTGGGGAATCCGGTGGTCAAGTTCTTTGGGGATCCAGTGGGCCAGTTCTTTGGGGATTCGGTGGTCAAGTTCTTTGGGGATCCGGTGGTCAAGTTCTTTGGGGATCTGGTGGTCAAGTTCTTTGGGGATCCAGTGGGCCAGTTCTTTGGAGATCCGGTGGTCAAGTTCTTTGGGGATCCAGTGGGCCAGTTCCCTGGAGATCCGGTGGTCAAGTTCTTTGGGGATCCGGTGGTCAAGTTCTTTGGGGATCCAGTGGGCCAGTTCCTTGGGGATCCGGAAAAAGAGATTTGTCCAGAAGATGGAGAGGGAAGCTGTGTAGACTCCTGTGATGTGAAATCTTCCAGGTCTTGAAAATTAGCTAGTTCCTGGCTCAGTTTTTTTTTAAAGGTTTCTCCCAGTCTGTGTGAGCAGTTTCATTTTGTTTATCCTTGCGAATGTGAATTCTATTCCTTCTATATTAATTACCTTCTTGATATTTCACGTAAAAGGATCGGGGTTCATGGGCTTGGTTTGTTATCTGGCCTAGGATCCATCTTTTATCCTTTTGAAACCAAACTAAAATATGAAAATATAGAGTATATTCTATTTACACACATGTTTTGGCATACAGAGCGTGCATTCCTTTCATGTAGCCAGAGTAGAGAGTTTGCGATCTTTTTCTCTGTTCTTTGGTGCTGCAGACTACACATTGTCTCTCTTGATTCTCTGGAAGCTTTTGGAGCTTTGGTGAGCTTGTAGATGTTATTGGGGCGTTGATAAGGGGCTCTACAAGGGAATCAAATACTGAAAGGGTGAATGCTTCCCTTTCCAGAAGTTTTTCATCCTTGGAGTGCTCACAATATATGATGTAGGCATTCAGAAGAGCTCGATGTAAAAGGTTCACAACCACCTTTCTATAAAATTTCCTTTCATCCATATGCACTTAGAGCATCATGTCTACACCTCCCATGTCATACACTATCCTGGGGATATACTCTCTCCTGCCTGTCCCTATCCATGGTTTCAGCATCACAGTCGGATAGGCTCTTTGCTTCTTTCACTAAATTGAAATCTTCAAATAAGAATAGAAAAATATAACGATGATTGAAGTGTCTTATAAGACGTATTTTAAAGATATCTTGGTGGTTGAGGATCTTGATGGAAGATTCTACATTAGATAAGATTAACGGGATGTTTAACTTGGCAGGAACCCTGTACTTGAGACCTAATGAAAGGAGGTTCTTTTTCCGTTAGGGATAATTCTGCCGAGGAGAGATTTATTAGGTTGGAAGATATATGATTCTTATAAGACACTCCTTTTCAATCGTAGTTATATTTTTCTTTGCTTCTTTGTATGCTATAGCTAGCTGGCAATCTTTTTGCATATATAACACTCATTTAGACCTGCCTTTGCTAATGTCTTGCAAAATCCAGATCTATTTGCTCTGATTGTACCGGTCAAGTAGGTCTGGTTATGGAAAAAATCCTCAGCGAGCTTGGAACTGGTAAAAAAATTGTCCAATTCAAGGTGGTGCTCTTTCCCTAAAAGTTTGGCCTTTCTCATAAGTTCCATTGGAGCATCATATGAAAGGCTTACTTGTATTGGGGACAATTTGCCTTTATAAGGAGTCAGTTTGAGGCAATAGTCAGTGTCTGATTCGCACAACATCCAGAGCTTCACCCCAAATTATCCATGGTGCTTTTGCGGCATATATTGCCTTGGCCTTATGCGATTTTTCAGAAAATGGTTTGGTTTGGTCATAGGCTGGATCTGAACTAGGGAGAATATGTGCTGGACCAACAGCACTGAAAAAGCTGGGAAAAATGGAAAGTAAACACTCACCCAAGGTAAAAAAACGAATTCTTCATCAGAATTTACTGATTCTTGCTCCTGTGTCTATTAAAAAGGGCAAATTTACATTTGGTGACAGTTCAGTCCATATTATTAGCTGTTCAACGAAAAAAGGTTGAAGGTTTTCCTACCGTTGAGCTGCTCGTGGGGCTTGTAGAGTCGTCTTGGCTTGCAGCTTAGACTTGGGGAACATGGCTCGGAGATTGGACCTTGGACCGGGTATCAGATTTTGGTACAGTGGTTGTGCGTGGTCTGGCGCTGTAGACTTGGCGTGTTCGATCCTGTGGGAACCGTTGTTCACACTGGGAGTGCCAGTGCATAGCATTGCAATACTTGCAAGGCGAGGGTGGGGGTGCAACTTGGTACGTTACATGTGATGACCGCTGGTTGTTGTACCGCAGTGGTGGGTTGTGGTAGGTTGGGTGTGGAGCCTTGTCTACTTGGCGCTGGTACACTGCACTGGTGGCACACTGAGTTCCTCTTATTCTTGACACTAGGTCGAACCATTCTTTAATGGTGTTTGGTTGTACCGTTGCGATTAATCGCTGGTCTGTGACGGGCAGTCCGTCGGTCAGAGACTCTATTAATATGTCGGCGGGTAGGTTGAGTTTCATGCCCATAACCGTTTTGTTTTGGTAGTAGTCTTCTAGGGGCATTTGGGGTGTCAATTTGATAGCCAAAAAGCGTGCAAATGACGCTTCTGTCATTGCTGGGAATAAGTATCAGTGTCTGGCTGGCATCATTATAAAATAACCTATCTAACTGTAGGCTTCGGAAATATTGGAGTGGCTTACCTTGCAGGTAGCAGGGTAACTTGCGTAGGCGGTCCGTGTAGGTCAGCTCAGCTCGGTCTGCTTGGGCATCGAAGTTGTCGAAAAAGCTCTGGGCTTCAAAGGTACCATCGTATGGACTCACTTCTATCTCCCTCGGAGATCGGGCGATCAGCAGCTTACTCAGGGCATCGGCGATCTGTGTCAGCGATTCTGCGGAGGTACCTTGGGGCGGCGACATTTCCTCCTCTTCAAATGTCGTCTCTTGTTTGGGGACAGATTGCTCGGCCGTATCGTTGGACTGGTCGGTTTGTTCTTCCATCTTGGCTCTTTCTCTCTTTTCTATCTGGACAGTCTTCTTACCTTATTCGCTGTGGTGTCCTTCGTTTGGGTTATCCTGTCGACTCTCGCTATAAGCTGTGGTAACCGAGGGTCAAACCTGTAGTAACCGAGAAGGACAGTCAGGGCGTGGAGAGTTTTTCAGTACCTCTCTGCACCTTGTAGGACCTTTAACAGTTCTCACAGAGTACAGGCAGTCGTGGTCGAGGCATAGTGGAAAGCTTGGGAATGTCCACACACAAAAAAACGAAGAGACACACTCGTAGTAGGAAAATTCCATGAACAGATAAAAGTAGAGCTAAGAGCAAGATGGAGTTAGAAGAGATCTTACTGATTTACATGGCGATGAGGTGGTCCTGGTTAAGACCGACAAGGGCTGGCGCCGACAGTGAAGTGACTGTATTGTTTGGCTAAAACGGGGAGGTTTTATCCTCCGACAAAAGAAGTATCGCATTACAGTACATGCGAGAGGGCGCAGATCCTCTGGCGAAACTGGACCTTGGCGCCGTCCTGACAGCTTCGAATCTATCTTTAGAAGTTGCTTTGTGTTTGACTTCTATCTCTCTAGCTCAACTCTTAATCTATTACAGAGTTTTATTTATTATTCTCAGTTTGTACAAGTTACATTACATATGATGATGTAATGACACATGTCAATCATGCGTATAATCATTTACAGATGTGTTTCTATTATACAACATGAAAATCTTATAAGTTATATACAATATGGGGTTGTTGGTGTAAATTACCATATATACAATAATTTAATGCGATAAAATGATTTTTATACCTTATAATAATATTTTATTGTATGGTAAAGTTTGAAGCAATCACCAAGGCATAGTAGAACTAGGCAGGTCTCACATTCATAGGCTGTATCTTTTCTTGCCTGCTTGCCAGAGGTTACCCTGCCTTTTTCAGCGCAAACTTTGCATCTGCGTTGGGCATATGTTTTGCCTTCAACTTTGATTCGGCGAATAAAATGACGTCCAATAAGTCGATCAGATTGTTCACCGCTTGAAGGTTGAGCATCAAGAATATCTTGATTGGCTTCTGAGCAAAGAGCTTCGCATATTGAAATATGGAAGTCCCTCAAAGACATTTTAGCATCAGGATTCAATTTATTGTAAATTATGCATGAATTTACAATAGCAAGTCCATATATATGGAAAAATAGTTTCTTCCACCATTTCATTGTGCGTCGATCAAAAGAATAATAGGAGAGCATCTGGTCACTTCGGTCCACTCCAATTTTATTCTTATTGTAGTCAAGAACAACTTGTGGTTTGAGTATTGGAGCTTGAGAAAGTCCAGGCCTCCCCATGACTTCAACCATTTGATGGTCGTGAACAGTTGAGATCATCCAAACATCTCTGGTGTGGCGCCATTTCATTGCCATTAGGCTACCCTTGAATAGATGCATTTCTTTACCTTTCTTCAATTTTTTTGAAAAGGAATTCTTAGGAAGACCTTTCCTATTAGTTTTTACTGTACCAACAGCCATTGTTTTCTTTTCCCATAGATAGTTGAAGAGGTGAAGCGAAGAAAACCACCTGTCACAATAAATGATGTGACCTCTGTTGAAGAGATGAGAGGCCAATCGTTCTACCAAATTTGATATAGTTATAGCCAGTGCTGTAGTCGTAAAATTAGCATAGGGTATACGCTTGAGAATATAAATTTTTGGTAAAAATAAACAAGGTTATTTTTAATTATATTTTTATTTGAAAAAAAGACGTAAAATATTACATACAACTTTTACATAAAAATGTCCCATAATGACTGCCGAGATGCATCTGTATTTTTTCTGGCACAAACTCTTGATCTAGTGTCAGTAGATGATCTATGATGTAAAAGCCATGATTGAACGTATTTTTTCGGCTGAAACATTTCGATTGGTGGTCCATTTGAATTTATGAACATTAAGTTCGAAACATTTGATATTAGCAAAGAAGTCCGCAAGTTTGTTATTATATCATTCATCAGGCTGAAACCTCGCTCACATTCAGCTGTTGAACAGGGCAATGTTGAAATTGCCCTGAAAAATTGTTGAAGTGTTTCGGGAACATTGTTTTTATCATCAACAAAATCTTTCAAGCCGTTAATGCATTTCATTTCATCTAAGTTAAACCTTCGACAAATACGTTTCATTTCGACCTCTCCATATCAAACATTTTCTGCGTCAAAATTGTTTGGTTCTAGAGCTGAAATATCCTTAATTAATTGCTCATTATCTTCATTTGATTCTGTACACAACCTTAATTTGAACTTTTCTATTATACTTAGAAGAATTTTTTTCTATCAATCGGAATAATTTTGGCATTGGGAACTAATGTTACGCTCCTAAAAACTAAGTTTTCTGCCGCTTCAAGAGCTAGCAAGCTTTTTTCTCCTGGTGATGTTTTGATGCTTTCTATGACTCTAATTGTTCTCTTTATTATATGTTCCGCCTTTTGTAAAGTAGTTGTTCTAGACTGCAGCTCTAAAGACAACATTGACATTTCCTGAAGCGTGTCTTACATTAAACCTAAATCTAATATAAATTCTGGACTCTCCAATCTTCTTAATAACCCTTGATATGTGGAATCGAGATATGTTGATGATTTGAAATGATGGTGCAATGACTCGTATGACTCCCAGACGGTTTTTATTGTTCTAAAACTACTTGAAATCCATCATACTCCTAAAATTCGACCCACTTTAGCAAATCTTGTTCCTAATTCATGGCAAGCTTCCTCCAGAGCACGACAATTTTTGGGAGATTGGCTATATAATGAATACAGTTTGTCCATAAAAGCTTTAAAATGGTTGATTCCGCGGACTTCTTTGATAGTATCGCCAACAGAAAGCTCTAATCTATGGTTGAGGCAGTGCCATGCAAAAAGTTTTGGAAACTTTTGCTTAAGTCGAGTTACGACTCCCGAATGTCTTCCTACCATGACACTTGCCCCATCAGTCGCAATTGCTATCCAATTTTCTTTTAAATATTCTTCGTTCAACCCATGTTTATACAAAGTATTCAAAAGCTCTTTTTCAATATTTTCTGAGTCTTGGCATTGTAATTCACACAAATCAAAGAAAATATAATCAATACTTTCTCCTCCTAAATATGCTTTCAAGAAAATGACCAAAGTTGATTTATTACTTAAGGTTGATGATTCATCAATTAGTATAGTAATTTTTGAATTTGTTGACAAAATCTTCACAACAAGCATTTTCCGCATTTCGCAGGCTATATGTCGAGAATCTGTGTTTAAACTAAATCTTGACTCGTCACTGAAGAGAACATTGACCCACTGATCATGAGTCCAGGCGTGATGTTCCAAGCACCAATTCAAGCGGGCTCTCCTATGAGCAGAGGTTAAAGGGATACAGACCATTGGTCGTCTTGCATAAAGAGCACCTTCGTGAAGCCTTCGGTAAACAGTTTGTCTTGAAATTCTCGTTCCAGTAGCACTTGAGAGTTCATTAGAGAGTTGAATAGCTGTCATTTCCCTATGGCGCTTGGCAGTTACGACCAGATAACGGTCTTCAGAGGTAGCTGTTTTTCTTTTTCTACCAGAGCCTTCTTTTCTTTTGATGGTTCCTGTCTGAATGAACCGTTTCCATATTTTGCTGACCACAGATTTATTCACATTTAGCCATTTTGCTACTTCAACTTGTGATTGCCCTGCCTCCATTCTTCCAACAGCTCTCCATTGTAAATCATCTGCTAAAATTTTTCGTAAACTCATAATTAACTAAGGATTAAATAAAATTATAATTGGACAATTCTTAGATGGGGTAAACGACACGCCAAATAGCACACTTATAAAGACAAGCAAAAATTTGCATATTTTCAATTTTACCGAATCAAATGGTTGCGATAAATAAATTCTACGACTTAAAATACCTAATTAAATTACTTTTTAGCTTTTAGCGTTGTATATTTAAAAACATATCATTAAAAAACAAAAGTTTCTTATTTTTTGGACACCAGTGTAGTTAAGTTAAATGGGTGGACAGGTATTTTCTTTTGCAAACTGTTTACTATTATTTTAAAAGTATTCCAACTAATTATATCTTTCGTGCTGTGGATAAGTTGTGGCTCGGTACACAGGTCTCGGACGGCCCTGTGCAGGCCGTTTGGGGCACTGGGCATGCCAGTGCATGGCGCCACAATACTGGCAGGATGAAGGGGGTGGATTGGCAGCGTAGTTGGGCCGTGCTCACCACGTTCGTTGAGCAAAGTACCTCGGTGACGACGCGAAGGAAGGGTTGGGAGTTGTTCTGTATCAAATAGTAGAAGTACATTACATTATTGGACAGTTCATCTTGAACGAGCAATTGTTCAACGAAAATTATGTGAGGAGGTCTTGTGGGTCGGGACAGGCCTGGTCTGGTGCCGTGGTTGGAGGATCCCTGGGACAGTTAGAGTTCACTGCTTGCGTTGGGCTCGTGGTGTAGAGAGGATCAGGGGAGCAGGTAACATGCGCCCGCGTGTTGATCACTCGGAAGGGTGCGGGAGAGGACAACACAGTTCTTTCGTGCTGTGGATAAGTTGTGGCTCGGTACACAGGTCTCGGGCGGCCCTGTGCAGGCCGTTTGGGGCACTGGGCATGCCAGTGCATGGCGCCACAATACTGGCAGGATGAAGGGGGTGGATTTTTTGATAATACTCCTCTAATGAGGAGCGATCTGACAACTTAATGGCCAAGAACCGTGCGAATGACGCGTTTGTGGTTTCAGGAAAGAGGTCTATCAGGGCCTGCCTTGCGTCAACGTAGTATAATTTAAAAAAAAAGCAATTTTATATTTTTCTTATATTCTGGCCAGTTTATTAATCCTTCCAATTTGGGGATATTCATACCCATTTTAATATTATCCATTCCAGCCATTACTAATATAAATTTTAACGTGATAAACAAAATAGAATTCTTTTTAGGCTTACCGTTGCTTCGTTTTTGTTATATTTCGCAGTGAATGCATGGTTGGGTCCATAACCTGTTGTGTTTTAACTTTAAAAGCACACAAAAATA